TTGCTTACAGATTGGGTATAGGCAGGGAATTTTGTGAAATTTTCTCTGCATTCCTCTCCCTTCCTTGTACTAAGAGTGGGGCTTCTCATTTTGACAGGGTTAACGAGCATTTTGTGATGAAACATTAGGGTTCAGGGTAAGTAAAAGTAAATTAAGGTACACTGGTATTAGTCAGTAGTCTAAAATGGTCACTGTGTCATATGCAAAGATCGAGGCAAACCAACCACTAGAATTTGCCTGCTTTCTGATGGCCAATCATCTCGAAGCGTACCAGAATGTCCTTTGTTAGTCAGTCGTCTTGTGCACACGCTATCACTGAGGTCAAGTTTGTGCCGCTCCGAGACGCGTCAATCCGTTTGTTCCAGTGGGCACACACGTACAGTTCAATCAGACATAGGCTGTGAAGATCAACCGGTTAGACAGATCCGCTCGTATGTTAGAATTGGGTGAAAAGCAGGGGGTTCGTTATGTCGTCCAGCGAAACCACAGAGGAAAGATGCAAGCGCTAGTAGCCGCTTTATAGAGCTACCGCTTTGCTTGGATTCGGTTTTGATAGATGGGCCTCGTAATGTACTTTCCAACGATTCTACGAACCGTGATGTGACAGCCTCCTAACATGGTCTGCAGATGTTAACCTTCCCATCAACCCTGCTAAGTCGCAATTCATGAGGTTGGGTAAATGCGAGCACAGCCGAACGTACACAGTGGCTGGTCAACCGCTGCATCCCGCGTCTTTCGTGCGCGACCTCGGCGTGCTCTCACGCTGCGACCTAAAGTCCATTGACAACACGAATAGGCTGTACCAAAACAGCCTTCGAATGCTTTGGGCGCTCAGGCGCAGCTTCAGCACTTGGTCCGAAGAGATTGCCACTCGCCTCTTCGTCTCGATAATACGACCAATGCTAGAGTACGGCTCTCCCGCATACTGTCCCATCACGCTGGGCGAGGTAGAGAAGCTTGAGCGGGTGCAGCATGTAGCCACTAGGCTGATTCCCAACTTACGAGGTATGCCATATGAAGACAGATGTAAGAAACTAGGGCTGTACACTCTAGCATATCGTCGGCTGAGGACTGACCTAATCATGACGCACCGGATATTACATCTGAGTGATTACCCCATGTTGAGACAACTTCTTCATCTGCGCACACCAAGCAGCACGAGAGGACACCGGTACAAACTTATCGTACCGCAGTTGAAGCGGGTAGCTCACCAACTCTGTTTCGAACGTAGAGTGGTGAATACCTGGAACAAACTGCCGCAGCCGGTAATGGAGGCGAATTCAGTGGCCGAATTTAAGAAGCTTCTAGACAAACACTTCGCAGAGGCAAAATATAAAGAGCGAAACGATAATTAATACGTTACTGCCCAAGAGCGACAACTGATGCAGCTACACAGAGTATGCTCTACTCGCTGCTTCAAATCAGTATCAGTATCAGTCATTGACTGTCCACTTTCGTTTACCCCGGAACACCGTATAAAGCGGAAATCAGCGGTAGACGCTGATCCGTTAGGCATACAGTCCAGAAAGTTTGCGTACTGTGTAGGGCTGAGCAAGTCTGATCGAATGGGTCTGCTCGGGCGGAGATGCGCTTACAAGCTTGGAGATCACACCCTGGAGAAAGTCTTTCAGGAGCGTGACCTGGGTGTATTGGTACAGGAAGATCTCGGGTGCTCAGAACAAGCAGAGAAGGCGACAAAAACCGGCAATCAACACTTCGGCCTTCTTCGCAGAGCTTTCGGTCGGTTTGAGCCCTCAATCTTTCCCCAAATGCTTAACGCCTACGTGCGACCTCACGTGGAATATGCTATTCAGGCGTGGCAGCCGTGGCAGAAACAGGATCTCGTTGCTCTCGAGACTCCTCAACGAAGGGCAACCAAGAACGTCAGGGGCCTCTTTCATCTGCCCTATCAGCTTAAACTGGAATTTCTAAGAATGTACACGGTCGATATCAGCTTTTGTGCGGGGACCTCATAATGGTTTACCAGATTCTGAAGAACCCAAACCACATTTGCCATCCGCTGCTGGAATCGAACCGCAACACTAACCTAAGTGGTCACCCTCTGAAATTGACAATTCAGTATAGCCGGCGTGGATGCCGTAGAAATTTCTTTTCCCTCCGCGTTTGCCAGCCTTGGAACGACCTCCCAAATTATGTCGTCTCTGTTCCAAATCTGACGATATTTAAAAAACAAGCTGACAATGTGTTGTCTCATTTACATTTCATTTGTGACTTGTTAGCCAGGGGATACAAAACGCAATCAAACGGTTTCTTGCCAAACTCCCAACCCATGGATTTATGGTTTTATACGTTTAATACGCGAACATCTCCGCTATTCCACATAAGTCTATGGTGATTTCACCACAACGCTTTTCACTTTATCATGCAATTCACTTTTCTCAATAATTGTCATCCCACGTGACTTGTTAGACAATGCTTTTTTACCCGTAATAACCCATTGTTACATCTAGTTTCAAGAACGATGAAAAGGTAGGAGCAACGAAATCCGACTGGTGAGCGACGACCTTATACTGAGTACTGAGATTACTAATGCTGGGATAGAACTGCCCGGCATGCTACTCAAACGAAACGATCCCTTCAGCAGAGGAGGCAACATTATCCTGTAGCACCGATCTCACCTGAATACCGAAATCATCGGCGATCCAGAAAAACAAGTTGTCGATTCCCTTTGGTGTCGTCTACACCTGAGACTTAATGATGTGTGTTTACTAGCAATTGCCTACCGCTTTCCAATGACCGCTCTGCAAATAGAATTACGCCCAGCTTCTATGAAACGATTCCTGGCACGGTCATACAGTCAAGTCTTTATGGTGTGTGACTTCCTTTTGCATGCACTTGAATTCCCTGCTTCTCCCAGTAAACAATCCAAAGCCAACTTGCAGCAAGTAATCGCCGATGTACCGTTATACGACCAGGTCACCTCTACCACGTGATTCAAAACGGGTGACGGAACATCTGTTTTAGACTTGTGCACACCAACGAGAAATTAATGGTCAATACCGTTACCACAGGTGGACCACTTGGCCGTAGCGATTATGCGACGTCGCTCTTCAGCTACATTTGCTGCACAGAATACACCTTTTAAGACGAGGGAACCCGCGTCGTCATCCATTACGAAATCCTTTGCAACCTCGTTTAAGAAACAAACTGGTCCTTCGAAGCTGAGCAGCATGTAAACGTCGCCAAGGAGGAATTTGTCGCCCACTTCACCAGTCTAGTGGTAAATGCATCGGAAGCCAAAACCTTTCATCTGAAACACGTGAATACTTTCCTGAGGAGCCGCAGTCGAATATGCACAGCTATAAGGAATTCAGCCAGGCGCGCTTAAAAAGCCTGTCCAAGGTTTGGGGCCTGTAGACTTACGGTGCCTACATAAATCAACGCAAACACGACGTCATTTGAGTCGGCGAAAACAAACTAAGACCAACAAAACTTAGCGATGAAGTTCAGTACCAATCCTGAGATGCTGTACAGGCCCGACAATAGGCAACGGGGAGTGCAGCGCGTAATCCCATTCATACGTTCAACAGAAGGTCCGGCGCTAACTACATAAGATGCGGACAATGTGGTTCGGCATCAGTTTACCCACACTTTCCATAGTGAGTAGTCATTTTAGCCGCCTAGGACACAGTTCCCACCGCCAAGTCAAGTATAGTTCACGGCAACAAATGTGAGGAAAAGACTACCGTTTGTGTGCATGCACAGTTCCCCTGGTGTGGACGACACACGATAAAAGGCACTAAAGACGATCGCCATGAACATCGCCGAAACATTAGCTCGGTTCTTTCAACGATAATTTGAGGAACTACAGATTCCGACCAAGTGAAAACGGAACGCTCGATCGTATTTACAAGAGTGAGAATCGTATTGAACCCTAGAACTATCTCCCAATCACACTTCTCCTGATGTTATCCAACGTAACGGAAAGTATTATTGCAGAGGTGCTCATGGGATAGCTTGAGAGCAACAACATCATAATGTCACAGCAGCACGGATTTCGCCGAAAGCGGTGTTGCACTACAAACTTACTGCTAGCCAGAGCAAGCTAAACGGAATCAGTCAATGCCGGCGTAGGAGTCGACCTCGTAGACCCAGAATTTTCCAAAGCGTTTGATCGCCTGGACCACCACATTCTCTTTTATAAGCTCCGAAGCTATGGAATCGGTGTCTGAGTTGTGGATTGGATTGGAAAAACAAACTGCAAATTCAATCTAAGCTGAATGTGAGAGTCAGCACACTCCGTTTCCGTGCCAGATGCATTCCATGTTGTGCGTCTCAAGGATCGGTAATGGGAGCACGTTTGTTCCCAGACTCAGTCAACGATCTCGTCAGTGTGCTCCAATGGCACTTCTTACTATTTGCAGATGATGTCAAGATTTGTCATGACATCAAGACAGAGAACGATAAGATGGAACTGCAGAATGATCTCGATAGGGCCTGTACATGGTCATCCGAAAACCAGCTGCAGTACAACGTGGCTAAATTCAAAGTTGTAGGCACTGACCATTATCATACGTATGAATATCGACTTGCGACCTGCTGCAACCCAGCCATAGCACCAACGTGAAAGGCAACCAGTTCAAATTGTCCTCGGACTACAGTGAACTCTTTTGTGGGTCAAACATTTTCTCCCATTGGGTATTCCGAACATGGAACGCCCTTCCAAACCACGCTATTTAGACCATAACATTAATGCTTTACAAAAAACGCCTGGAGGACACACTATCCCACTTGCGTTATATAATATAGTTGGTTTCACTCAGAGGACTAAACAACTCAAACCAAACTATGTGCTTGTCAACTTTTTCCGCAACATAGTGGTGAGGAAACTTGCATTGGTGTCCACGTGAATAGCTTGGTAAATCGCCTAAAACCCGATTTGTTGCTTATTTCCCGTCGTTTTTATCTTCAGTTTTATAATAATTACTCCAGCCACCCTACGGAACTTGTCAAGCAATTGCAATTTTGCCCGTTATAAATCGCTGTTCGTTTAGAAGCCACGATATCTCCAAACATCTTGGTGTGCAGCCGATGGATTGTAATTAAAAGATTATTCGGTTTACGAACACAGCACGTCGATCCTCGGGTGTAAAATAAGACCCTAGAGAGCTGAACTGATTATCTGAAAGACACTCGCTGGCCGGTCGTATGGTTCGGCGTTCTTGCCGGCCTGTCATAATTCAGCCCATGGTGATGACAACCGTCTTTCAAAACAGACGAGGTTTCATTCTTGCGTCTCTACGGGATTGCCCGATGACTCATGGTGATCTTCCGCACCATCCGTGGGAAGGTTGGTTTCGGGCTCTGTACGAGATTCCGCTACATCTTCACCATCCGTCTGTTCTCCTTCGGCCAGTGATGCTGCTTTCTCCTCATTTGGACTTGGTGACGCATTGTCCGCAGCTAACTGCTTCCCATCTTGCTCATCACCGAGTTTTTCTTTTATAATAGTTCTATGACTGTACTTTTTGGTGGATTTGACCGGTGGCTTTGGTTTATGCATCTGCACTCGCTTCAGTTGTGCCCTCTCATTGGCCAATGCCAATCTGCGAATGTTGCTGATGCATCCGGCTGCTGCATTCTGCAATTCCAGATCCTGAATGAGAAGATAGAAAACATATGGTTTTTCAGAAGACTTGAAGTGGCACCATAGACAAACGATAAGCAGTGGTATTATTCACACATTCGCCTTCAAATGGAATCAGCTAGATAGTCCCCACACAAAAGAAACAACTCTGGACTGTCGCTCTGTTATATTGGGACATCTCGGTAGTATGTATTTCCCCGAAATCTTAAAAACTTTAGACCAACAGTCAGACCCATACAAGGTAAAAGTTTGATCCACTGCGTCGTGGGCGTCGGTGGTACTCATCAACGCTCCATTGTGAGTACGAGTATAACCCGGATAAAACATCACACCAGTTTATGGTATTGCCGTGCACAAAGCAAAGTGGACTCCAGTGCAGTGCAACATTATTATTTGGGCTGACAGGGACAAGCGGAGTCAGCTGTCGGACCCATGTTGATATAACCAAACCGGTGACCGGAAGAAAGCCCTTAGGAAAACTGCGCACAGCGAAATGCACACCTACATAAGTGCATACACGGAAAAATGCGCACAACGAGAAACCTACACACGGAAATTTGGCCACTTAAGGCCCGCATAATTTAGCTTTTTGTCGACTTCGTCTTAACTACTATATAATTTATTTGTGATACTAACGAAATACCAGTTTTAACTTTAGCCTCCGACAGCTGCACATTGTTACCATAACACACAAGCTGCCCGCAACTTCGATCGCTAGTCACGTACCGCACTGCGAAACGTGCCAAAACAAGTGTGATTCATTTACAGCAATAGTTAACCGACAGCACTGCTCACCTACTGCATACTGAAATACTTTCGAAGATTGGTGAATTTGCAATAATGATCGCTGTCCTTAACGACGGGGTGAAAACTAAGGCTAAGTTATTTGCGCACATTGGCAAGTAGTACTCGTGCAATCAAATCCTGTACACTAAAGGTTTTATGTATGCTTGCTACGACAGTACAAGCTACTATTTCAATTTGAATGCTTTAATGACTGTCATGTACCCGACATCTTAATGTGAAAATGAGCATTTCATGACAGAAAACCCATTCAAGAAAAACACAATAACGAAGGGAAACGCTCTTATCGTGCGTGGATAAGAATGAACCGCGAAAAATGTGCACTGGTGAAACCTGCAAGCTAGTGAAGTGGGAGTAGCAGCACGCGTCGCATCTGCGTGAAGGGGCCGGCCGGGGGCGTGATCTTCGTTTTAGTCAAACGAATTCAACATCCAGTCAACATTCCCCATCGGTCATCAGGTGCACAAGGGAAGAAGTGATTTTGGTTAACATTTCTCACGTGGTACACAGTCAAACCAGGGATATTTGCAGACTGCTACAATTTTTCCCTCTGAGCGTTTTTAGGTGTGGGTATTCTTCCGTGTGCATTTTCTTTTGTATGCGCATTTTCGAGTACGCATTTAGACCAGCAAATGTGTTCATGCGATTAACTCGATGAGTTAACTTAAAGCAAAACTTTTCCTTTTTCCTATCATTTTCAGCAATCCAGTCATCCTAAGGGACATGTCAAGTAATTGCTATTTTGCCTGGATAGCGCCATCCGGGTCGCACTTTGCTCCTGTCGTCGTCAGGCCAGTTTACCTCGTTCATTATCTCTGTTTTTGCGTGTAACTCAGTAGTATTAGTGATTTTGAATTACGGTAAAAAAACACTACGTGTGCTAGTTAATTCTACTTTTGGTGTTGCTCTAGTACCGTGCTTCAGCCATTTCGATCGATATCTGTTTTTGAAATGACCAAGCAGACTGTTTGTCGTATGTGTTCTAAAACCGTTGGTCATTGCTCAAACGTGGGTACATGCACTTTTTGCGGTATAAACGCCCGTATTTCGTGCATCGGTTCAGCTGTTGATCAATTTAAACTTTGCGTACTATCCAGCATGACTTTGTTCAAATTCGGTGTACAAGGTGTCAGATTGAATTGCGATCATCTACAGTTGATAAAACACTCGAGCAAACAAGACAGGCGAATCGCTCAATAACGAGGCGCTCCGTGGGTTCATCCCATGAGGGACAAGCCCACTTGCCTGCCGACTGATAGCTCTCCGGGGCGATGTCCATGTGCACTTTCATCATGGGACCGTACAAACTGTATATGAAACACACCGAAGACAGAGCTAAAGTTAGGTGGTGGTCTGAGTGTTCGCTGAGCTCGTCAGTTTGACTGCAAACCTTTCGTCACCCACCCTAGGTGACATCGTCAGTGCGCGTTTATGTAGCAGAGCGGCGCGGTACGAATCGTCAGTGGGTGCGAGTGATCGATCTCCTAGACGTTAGCCTGAGTTTGGATTGTGCGACGGGCACATGACCATCGAAATCGGTCTCTGATTCCCGCCTCGTAGCGCACGCGCGCCTGCCTCTTCGGTTGTCATCGTCGTTTGACGCAGTTGTCTGGCGTTCTGTTCGGTTAGATTTAATCCACTAAATCGGTGATTTTTTATCCGTAGCGCTGTATAGATAGCATCTATTTCCACGCGTCGGGAAAACGTAGATGAACGGCTAGCGCTTCCTTACATGAAGAGCGTGTCTGGGCTAACGTCGATTGCTACGACCACATAGAATCTTTGTAGCCCACAAACCAACTGGTACTTTGCGAAGATTGGTTTCAAGATCGAAGGACAAAGTCAAACAAGGCAGTCCGAATGATGTCATCCACAACATTCAATGCAAAGCGTGTGACAAACACTACATCGGACAAACTGGAAGGAAACTTTCAACACGGATCAACAAACACATAATGGCCATACGGAGACAGGACCCGCATTCACTGGTTTCCATGCATGAAGACCAAGAAGGCCACCATTTCGAGCTAGAGCACGTAAAGATCCTAGCCCGTGGAAATTCGAGGCATGCTAGAGCGTTCTTGGAAACATGGTATTCTACAGACAATACAATAAACCGAGGCGTTAAAATAGATGCTATATACGCAGCGTTACGGATGAAAGATCACCGATTTAGTGGATTAAATCTAACCGAACAGAACGCCAGACAACTGCGTCAAACGACGATGACAACCGAAGAGGCAGGCGCGCGTACGCTACGAGGCGGGAATCAGAGATCGATTTCGATGGTCACGTGGCCGTTGAACGATACAAATTCAGACTGACGGCTAGAAGATCGATCACTCGCACCACTGACGTTTCGTACTGCGCCGCTCTGCTACATAAACGCGCACTGACGATGTCATCTAGGGTGGGTGACGAAAGGTTTGCAGTCAAACTGACGAGCTCAGCGAACACTCAGACGACCAAATGAACAACCTGAGCTACCAACATTTGCTTCTATGTCACAGCTAAAGTTAATTCTTTAACTTACTAACTACCCATGGTCTAACGGGAAACGATTGATCGTTATGATTAGGAACGGATTAATGTAAATATGCCTTTATACCTAAAGATCGGTATGGGGTTTTGGTTGTTACGTGCGGTGTCAGATAAGCGTACAGTTTCCAATCGCCAAATAAAAATTGGTACTGCTTAATGTGGCGTTAAAATGCGGACACATCTAGCTTCACATTAGCAATGTATGTATGATACCTCCTCGTTAAGGAAGCATAGCACCTTCAGAAGGGCACGGAGAAACCAGTGTCTAACTGGCGTTAACGGTCCTCCAGGACTCCGCCTTGTGAACATATGGTAACAAGAAAGCAGCGGCAGGCAAACACAACGGTTAACCAAGCTCTCATGCCTCGCATCTAGATAAGTCGAATTTCTGTTCCACAACGCGCCACACATGGTAACTCACTTCCTAACACGCCAGTGCATCGATTCGTCTCAACGGTGTATGTGTCTTGCTCGTTCGGCCCCATATTGTCACTTTCTTAAGTCGCTTGCGACCAGTTTAGATTTGTTCTAAAGCTCTTGCTTTGCTTTATGGCGGTTCAATTACTCTGCCTATGGTTTCTCCTGAAACACCGAAAAGGGGTTTCTGTCTGATTTATTGGCCTTTCGATGAACACCCCCTTCAGTCCTCTTTGGCTCAGGTTCACTATCGCTGATCGCTCGCGACTCGCTCTCAGCTCGCTCCCTGGGTTTTGCGTTGCGCCGTCTGACCTTTTGCTTGCTGCCTCTGTCCGTGCCGGTTGCTTTTCTTTCCAGTTGTTGCGGATTCCCCATGTTCCATGTGATCTTTGACTCCTGAAACCCTGAAATATGCGCTGTCCTCCGTGATGGGTTGCATGGCCCCACTAGCCATACTATCAAGTTATCCGAGGCCAGAAGTGAGACAGCTTATCGCAATTCACACACACGACGAGTGCCCGAAACAAGACAGTGATCAGGCGCTCGATTTTTATGCAGTACGCATACCCTAGTAACAGCTTGCCCAAGAAGCCATCTCACTTTGATTATATGTATATATATATATATATATATATATATATATATATATATATATATATATATATATATATATAAATGTCTAGTGGGCCATGAGCTGTGTCATTTGGGGCCACTACAGAAGCGACGACGGGTCCTGCAGAGAATTACGACGAGCCGGCGCAGCGTTTGTAGGCACGCTGAATTCGATTTACTAACCGCGTGCTTGCATGCTAAGTCTCTTTATTTCAGGTGGTGGGTTTACAGATTTTACCTTACTGCATTTCTTTCTCATATAAATATCTCCCTGTACTCTATTCCATTAACTTGCACACATCGCTTCAGCCAGTTGTATTCGATTTCCATAGCATTTTTGTGTTTGTGGCATACCGTGAACTATACTTCCTGACCTCGTGCACTTAGCTAGGATTTGTTTGTAAACAACTTATTACGTATGCTATTTAATTAAGGTTTATGTCACCGTTTCCTTATGCATTAATCGAGCTTTTCTCTCTTTTTCTTTCTCTCTCTCTCTCAAGTGTTTGGCTGTTGTTTGATATCCCCGGTGTGGTTGCGCTTGATGTGCATGTTGACAAGGTGCCTACCTGTCTATTACCCACTACCTCGTCCATACTGGCTCCAGGAGACAGTTGGTCGTTGCTGGAGGGGACGGGGGGTGCACGGTTCTTGTGGCCGTGTTAGGCTCAAAGAGCGGTTCCATGCACTCAGTGTGGAGCGGACTACGGTCCAGCCACCGCCTTGTGTGCGGTTGATTCCCCAAATACAGCGTGTTTGTGTTTGCCTGTGAAGGAGTGTGGGCCGGCTCCGTTGATGAAACGTGGTTCCCATCCGCATGCCTCCCGGTCTTATTCCTTCGGGTTTACACTGGATATGGGGTATGTGGTTGGAGCTGTGGGTGGTGCAGCGCAAGCCATCCATGGTCCCTCTGTGGGCGCAGGCGTCCTGTGGCTTGCCACAGTGACAGGCAAATCCGAAACCGGATGCCGCCAACCATATATATATATATATATATATATATATATAAATATATATATATATATATATATATATATGTATCTGGGCAGAGTGAGGGTTGATGGCAAACTGTCGCGACCCTGCACTATCACCAGCGATGTGAGACAAGGTTGCCCGCTGTCACCTTTCCATTTTAACTTTGCTATTGGTGAAGTCATGGAAACAGCGGTCGCTGGACACGACCTAGAAGGTGTGGAGCTACTTCCTGGTGAGCGACTTCTTGACTTAGGCTATGCGGACGATATTGCCCTAATCTGTGACATCTCCCAAACATGCCAAGTAGCACTGGACCGATTAGCACTGGCTGTCCATCGTTTTTGGCTATGCTGTTGCTCCATCGAAATACAAAGTACTTCACCAAGATTGGCAGGGACCCAACCCTGCGCAAACGTGCTTGGTGGTGATCTGCTAGAAGTCGTTCAGGAATGCAAGTACCTGGGCAGCTATATTAGCACTCCGAGGGATTGAGGATGAGGTTACGAACCGTATAGCAAAAGCTCGAGGTGCTTTGCCAATCTCCGCCACCTGTGGCCCAGACGCGACATTACTCTCGTCCTGGAAGGCACGAGTTTATAACGCAGCCCGGCCGTCAACTCTTCCAATATGGTTTGTGAAACCTGTCGGCCCATCAGGTCCACAGACATAAGGAGGCTAGTCACATTCGATCATCGCTGCCTTCGCATCTTAGCTCATGTCTAATTGAGCACGGCCTGATCAATGATCTTGTTCGGCTTCGCGTATTTGGTGTAGGAAGGGTGAGGGAACCGCTCAGCACCATTATATCACGCACCAGGCTCCGATGGTTGGGCCACGTGTTGCGCATGCCAGCACACCGACTTCCGCGACGTGCATTGTTTGCGCTTTGTGGGTGCGGTTGGAAGAGGAGGAGGGGAGGCCAAGCGATAACTTGCTCGAGAGAGATGAAAACCCTCACTTCGAAGTTTGCATCAGTTGGTGCATCCCGACTGCCTGGCTGGGTTCCTAAGGGCGGTGAACACGTTTGGTTGGACACAACTGCTGATATTTCTGGGAGCCGGCCCCAAGGGCGTTTGTGTTGTGAGTTCCTTTGTCCATCCCCCTCCTGCTTAGCATCCCCTCCACTCACGCTCTCACACGTTAGGCAAAATATGACTCTCTTTCTACGGCACGATAACCAGCTGTTAGCTCTCAGGACCGATGTCCATCCGTTACTGGGGACTCAAACGGCGTGCTACTGTTTGTTTTCCTTTTCTTGTCTTTTGTATTGCGGCACAATGGTTGAGGTGTTTTCTAACTTCAGCTAACGTGCACAATGATATATATATATATATATATATATATATATATATACGGCGGCGTCCAGCTTCAGATTTGACTGTCACTGTGGATAGCCACAGGACGCCTGCGCCTACAGAGGGATCATGGGTGGCTTGCGCTTCGCCACCCATAGCTCCAACCAAATACCCCTTGTCCAGTGTAAATCCGAAGGAATAAGACCGGAAGGCATGTGGATGGAAGTCAGGTTTCATCAACGGGGCCGCCCACACTCCTTCACAGGCAAACACAAGCACGCTGTATTTGGGGGATCAAGCGCACACAAGGCGGTGGCTGGAGCGTAGTCTGCTCCACACTGAGTGTATGGAAACACGCTTCGAGCCTAACACGGCCAAGAGGACGGTGCACCCCGTCCCCTCCAGCAACGACCAACTGTCTCCTGGAGCCAGTATGGACGAGGTAATGGGTAATAGACAATCACAGCAAGCGCAACCGTACTGGGGATATGAAACAACAGCCAATCACTTAAAATGAAATTAGCAAATAAAATATACCTGTTAAAGCATACGGCCACGCAGATATACCTCGTCGCTAAATTAGCATATGAAGTAAGTTGGTTAGCAACGAATCCGCGATAAGTACAAAACTTCCACAAGTTACTCAAAATATGCTACAAATGCGATGAACTTAACGAAGGTAAGAGTAATTAGCGTAGGCAGTTCATAGAATATTTTATATATATATATATATATATATATATATATATATAATCACCAATAGACCAGTGCTATGTTAACTAATCACTTCTAGCTACTGAAGGAATTCTCTTAACATCCTTAAGATACAGTCCGACTTCCAGACGGAAATTTTGGGCGGAAACCGAGTTACGGGTTGTCATAATCCGTTAAACAGACGAGATTGCAACGTGTCAAAATCACCGAGGTGCACCGATGCGCAATGATAATACATCGGTGTGTGGAATACAAGACGAACGAAAGGGACTAGAGCACCTGCATTAGGCAACGCGTTAGCAGGAAAGGCGTATCAGAGACAGTGTACATAAACAACGAATGTCGTTGACACAGTAGTGGAGACACTAAATCGGCGACTTCGTAGACTAACCGATCTACGAAGACCAGTACGTATAAACATTAAAAACAGCGGCTGGTTATATGAACCGACAACATTCCGGTTGCAGCACAACAGTCGGAGTTCAGGTGACCAAAAATTATGCTCGGATTCTGCTTTATTCAGTCCAAACAAGCCGCATAACAAGTTCCTTTGGATGAGTTCTGTGGTTCGACGCACTGGATTTCAAGTACTCTACATAGTACCGGGTCAGAAAGTGGTTAAATACATAGGTCTCGATGTGTGTTCCAGAAAGCTTAATGTCCTTTTGAGTAAGTACACGCTTTTTGAGACATTTCCAATTGAATTTCGGATTATTGCAAATTCTATGAAATGGATAACAGCGATCCTTGTTCTAACGTACTTGGGAGCCGACCATTTGGAGCAAAAGTTTCACGACACCAGCTTCGTGCATTGCCACGCAGTTGTTGGGGTCCCTGCTCAGTTGAAACAGCGCCTTTGCTGTGGATCGATGAACGTTAGAGTCATGGGACCGTAAGTAGTTGACCAATGGGCTGACAGCACCAGCTCGACCAAAGTCAATTCGGTTGGTTCCCCATGTGCAACACCGCGCAATAGCGTCCGTCAGTGGACAGCGCAGTTTGTCGTCTTTCTGTAGTGAACATGTGGACGTTGGCAAGACACATTCGATCAAATGGGATCATAGGCACACATCAGCAAAATAGTATAAATCTCGACGAAAAGACAAGTTAGTGATGGCATAGTCGGAAAGCCAAAGTAACCACAAAATGCCAACTAACCACAAGCATGATTGGTGCGTTAATCGTTTATGGGATGGGCGCCGTTCAAGGAACTTAGGGTTTGCAATAAAATGGATTAACCGCTACTTGGGTTGGCTGGGTGTTACTTGCTTTTCCAAGGACGGTTATTCTGTTACAGACATTCTACCATCATCGAGGTCGTAACTCCAGTGCGTAGTCGCAAACAGCTTTACAGAAAATACTGAATGATCTACTACACACTGAGGATGCCACCTGGAGTGATAATGAAACGTCTGCAACGAAATTCCCCGGCGCAGAGAGTCAATCAAAATCCCATCATTAGAGTTCCAAGATGGGGAGGATATGAAGCATGGGCGTTGAGAGTGACGGAATGAAAATGGCCGCGTCGACTGCAGCCAGTCTACGTCATGTAAAGCGCTTTTCAACCATCACATGAGGATGTCCAGCACACCATATTTGAAACCCAAAACCACTTCATTTACGGGTGAGCTTTCCAACCGATTTGTCGTCAATGTTTCTCCCAGTAAACGGAATTGTACCAACTGGCTGAATAAATGCACTGCTATACGCTTTCTACTGAGCACCGCAAAAACGGTGACGTAAGTGTATCCATTCGGTTATGAGAGCACCGTAACGATTGGTCATGTAGCCAAATGAAACATCGTAAGCACTGATGAAGTATCACATCAAAAGTGTATGCTTACAGTGCAGGTTAGACGGCTTAAAAGTTGAACCACACCATGATCGGTGATCACCGCGAGATTTTCTTCGTCAATCGCTATCCTCGAGATGGCCGCGCAGACAGCCGCCAGCACGTTGAGGTCACTGGATTTCAGTAGACTGACGATCAACTCCAGACCTCCAACAAATGATCGAACCATCTCGCCAGCGTCCTGGAAAGGATAAAGTACAAGGAGTGCTCCGATTATTAAAACCCGGTAGCAGAGACCACCTGGCGTAAAAGAACATAAATATAGATTTTGTGGATTATCGAGTCAAGCGAAACTTCCCACAAATAACATTGTATTTATGATCAGATTATTTCATTGCTTAACTAAAGATACAGTTTCTGGAAGTATTCTGTATGCGGTCAAATAAAGCGCGTTTCACCAAAAGCATAAGCTCAAACTGCTGTCTCCATAGAAGCGTCGGTTACAAGAGTAAAAGGTGCTGTTCAGCAGCTACGGAAAAGGCGTGATCCATTGTTTTTTATTCTTGCAAAAATGCACCTCATGCAGTTATCAGCCTTACAACTCGTTAATCCAGCATATTTCCTGTGGAGCATCTGGTCAGTGAGAATCGAATCAGTATGCACCGGTATTTAAAGTGCCCCCATTGGGCAGTTGTTACGAACACGCTGACTGTGTGTGGTCCAAGATTTTGCATCCGAACAGAGATGCCCATATGAAAATGTTACCCTGTAACCCATATGATGCTTACTTTCAGCTGTTCAGCACAGGATTGAACTTATGTCAGTTGGTGTGTGGTACAAAACAACAAGAAAAGACGATAAGAGCCCCAAAGGGTGGTCAGGTGACAAGGCAGCAGTGAAGTCAAACAGCAGACATGTTTGTGGTCGAGCCATAGTAAGAGTAGTTCGGTTAGGTTATTGACCACAATCCAAACAAAGGTGGAGTAGCTCGCGGGACCAATTCCCGCTTCATTATGGCGAAAATGAGAACCATAGTGATGCAAGACCAAAAGCAGACATAAACAAAAACGCCAATTGAACAAGTGAGAGCAAAGCGACTAAGGACTTGGACAGGTGTCGGAATGCGGGATGTGTGCGGACTACTCAACCACTGACATGAGTAACCACATTAGGCGAAACTGTGGTGACAACAAGTGACATTCAGGCTTCTTTATTCTGCGCCCCTAATGCTTACACACGGTTCCATTACTCCTCCCCTCCATGTGTAGTAGCCACGTGGGCGTCGACGCAAGCAGTAAACCGATGTAGCCATATCTGAGAAATATCAAGTACATTTAAAACACGTATGCTCGCTATTAACCATGAACAGAAAGGACTCAGTAGCTGCTTGCACATTGATCCGATCGGATATGAGCAATGTCTCATGGGTTCAACTGTTTAAGGGCAAGGAGTCGCTTAATGACAGCAAAAGCAGTCTGGCCACTCGCTGATATGCCCAAGAATCCCTAAGGTCTGCATGTGGATGAGGAGAATCACGCATTCGATTTCGGATGCGTCAAGATAATATATGTTCTGGTCTAACTGCTATAGGACCCCAACTTATCCGCCGAGGAATATCACACACATGGTTCTATTCTCAAGTCAGCCGTAGTGACACAGGCTGCCTCGTATTTAACGATGAACGAGCAAATCCTGTGCATATGTCAGGGCCCACTACAGTCGTGTTCCCGGGGTCTGATGAGAGTTTGACGTCCATCCTGCTCACAGGTCACAGTCGCGTGACTTTCGGATGACGTGTGACCTCACCTCAGCGTCACATGCCTTTGATAGAGACATAAGAAATGAACCGTCTTAGCAATACGGAAAGCATGAAGCACTTGAGACAGAGTCTAGCCAACATAGATTTCGAGGTTATCTCCGAAGCGATGCGCGCCTTTTCAGCAATCTTTCCGGAGTCAGCGGGATGAAAAGTAAAGCATCAGTCGGCTAGCTACTAGCCCGAGGCGATTGCGGGACCAAGAAACCAAAGCGAGGCTTCTGACGGGGAAAACAAGCCAGAAGGATTAGTAAGGCATATTCCCGGCATTCATTGCTGGGTTTCAGAGTACCAGCTGTGTGTTTAGATTGAAACTCCTCCGGAATTTGCGCTGATGATGGTGCTCCGTCTGGCAACGAAACTTCGCTAGCTAGAAAGGCAATCCAACATCCTCATCCACTCCCCATGATGCAGTCTTTCAATAAGTATTACTGGCATCAGTGCACATGGGTCACGCCACTACGCGCCCTTTTACCGACAAGATGATATCTTACCGTCTTGATGAGGGTGTAAAACTGATGTGCCACACGGACTCCCGCGATGCGCGCAACTTTTTCCATGATAATTATGCAATTAAGAGTAGTAGGAATAACCGAAAACGGGAACTGCTCTACCGATTATGGTGCTTATTTGCTAAACTTGGGAATTCCTACTGAGTCGGCTTAATATGAAGCTCGTGCAGGAAGTGCAGTGCAGTGTTTCGAGACATTGTCATCCGAGTTTTCTAGTTGGCTACCACGAAGCACTCCAGTCTGAAATGACATATCTGAGGCAACAGCACCGAGGCTAATCTTTATCAAACAAATTAAAGAGAAATGGAGAGTTAAGACTAAGTAGAGGATCTTGGTTGTTGCGGGTACTCATTTGGGGCCGGGAAATAGAGAAAAGTTCTTCTGACCCAATGAGGTGGATCAGCGGACGCGTTTCGAGCGATTGCAAGCACATCAACAACACAGCAGCCAGAACAAGTAGTTGATGCAACTATGGCGGCAGATTAGAGAAAGCATGGTGCTTAGCTCTTGGGCACAGAAAGCTTGCTTTTCATCCTGTATGTGACACGCACCTAGAAAATTCTATGCCGCTACTCTAAGATGTAGACCTGATGCTGCAGCATAGACGCTTATGGTCGCTTATGTGCCTGATAATCCGTTCCAGGTAGTGTGACATGTGTTGCGAGCTGCATTCGTGGCTCATATTCAGTTCATCGCATAGAACCAATTTCAAATACGACCAGATGCATATACAGGACAACTAAGAGGAGCGAATTAGCGTTAACTAACACAGTAAAGATATACTTCCACACATCGATGAGTGGCGTGAGATCGGCCAAAAGCAATTCACTACCGATTGCCGTCTAACCGGCGTGGCTGATACAATGAAAAAAGCCTAGAGACCCAGACGCCTAACAGCTATAGCCTGAATTTTGAGTACTACGTCATATTTTACTCTCCACGCAACTACTGCTCCCAACAGGTAGATAGAGTTGCAGAGATCCATTTATGATACATAAACAATTGCCTCATTCGTGACCGTAACAACCGGTAGCTGAGAACGAGTGCCTGCGCGGCACTTGCGTTGTGTCCTGCGAGATGGATAGGGAACTTTTCAACTCACCCAGAAGATCGGTTATCTAACTTGCATCTCCAGGCAACACCTTGATAGCCATAAGGTTTGCCAATCACTTGCTTCTGAATCTAGTAACCAGGGCCAACGGGAAAATGAGGGAACTACTCAGACAACCGGCTGTCCCAATGCGAAGACCTTTGGTCTCCTTATGCACTAAGGGCCGTTAACGAAACTCCTAATAATGCATTTTCACTGCATTACTGTTGAAACCGACGCAGAAGCGGATGAGTTAAACACCTGTTGCTCGTTTCTAAAAAGCACCAGGGTACTTTAAACCATCGCATCGTGATTGTGTGTTTGAGAAATTGTTTGAAATGGAGATCCTTGGTCGGAATAGTGTGTGCATCAAACATTGAAATATTTTGGGACGCGTCGGTGCATGCCGAGTGTACCGATTTAGAACATACAGGAGCTTACGAGTAAAGGTGAATCAGATCAGTGTCGCTAAGCCGACAGTGCTCATGCTCGGCACTGACACCTGCTGTACGCCCCCACCTTATTTGTTTACCGAAGAGTAGTAGAGGATGGAACGGTATAAGTAGAAATTCGTCACATCTTTACTCACTCAGACAGCCATCACACGCCCGGCAAAGCAATGGACGCGCGTTTCGTCCTTTCGGGAATCGTCAGTAGTGCGCGTTCCATCGGACCCTGGTAGGGTTCGAATCCGCATCTCGACTGTTGCCAGTCCGTGGTTGAGACCATTGAGCTACGGGAGGCGGCCACGACTATCGTGAATCAGTAACTAGATGTGATATAGCGCCGCTCATTATCCACTGACTTGCACGTTACTGCCGTGCAGAGGACAGGGTAACCCCCTCACATCTAGTAACTGATTCACCGTGGTCGTTGCCGTCCCCCTTAGCTCAGTGGTCTCAACCACGTACTAGCAACAGTCGAGCTGCGGGTTCGAGCCTCACCAGGGTCCGATGGAATGCGCACTACTGAAGATTCCCGGAAGGATGAAACGCGTGTCCAGTGGTTTTCCGAGCGTGTGATGGCTGTCTGAGGGAGTCTAGATGTGACGAATTTCTACTTATTTGTTTAGTAAAATTCTGGGATGTGCCAGTAAGAGAGCGTTTTACTCCCTCTGGTAGGAAGTCCGTTAACTACAACTCGGAACAACCAAAGCGTCTTGTACAATAACGATTCAGGGGGACACAGCAGTAGAAATCACTTCAGTCCACCAGTTTGAAGACGGCGTGAAGTCAGTCCAACTGATATGAGTGCATGGCATTGTATCTGCATCTTGAGAACTGGTAAAGGGTTCGAGAATCAGAAGCTTTACTAGCCACAGTTACAAGGACACCATACAACAGACATACCTTGGCGTTCTCTATACATGGACAGATAGCCCAGGCGGCACTCGACTGAACTTCGGGATTCGGGTTCTTCAACAAAGACCACAGAAGTCGCACACCATCCAAACTTTCTATAATGCTGTATAAATGAGAGAAAATAATATTGACAAGAGTGCGACCCAATTCAGTGTGCGGCAGTTATGTGCTACATTATGTCTCATTGCAAATTTCAAACGTTTGACGTAGGGGACTGACTCTTCCACACTTGCAGTAATTGATAAAATAAGGATATATTACCCCAGTAGAAAAAATCTTTGAAGAACTCAGGGACCAGGTTGCGTTAATGAGGCCTATATACGGTCGAAACTAATGGGTAAGAAAACAAGAACGAAGCGTTCGCTTCTCAAGAACAATATCAGGTGTCAAAAGCGAAAAAGTGAAATGATTCGCGTCCTTCAGATGAGTGACGATCAAATTACGTATGTAGGGTATCTAACAGCTGTTAGTTCAGCTTGGGGAGACACTGAAACTCCTTTTCGTAGGCGGGCACTAACTAACCCTCCGGGAGGGTCGGCTAAAGAAGGAGGGGAACACAGTGATGTACACTACGGTGAAAGATGTGCGGACGATTCAGTTGCTGAGTGATCTTGTTGGCCAATAAAGCTTCATGGTTTCTTCTATAAATCTGTACGTAGATGCGTGGCACGCGTTTTTAACTCGGCAGACCAGCAATCCTGCTGATAGAGGCCGCCCCAACTTCTCATATGACACCTAGAAATCCGCGTGAAAATAGTATAGCGTTAGTCAGAAAGCCCGCATCACTTTAAGAATATGAACCTTCTGGCGATAGATAAACCGGCACTTCGCTCAACAAGCTGATAACGACTGTTGTCGAAATCCATGATCACTAGACCTTGTAGAACAGTTATAAATCACGAGAGATCACATAGCCTAGTAGAATGAAAATTAGTAAATCTAAAGGAATAGATAATCACTCAATTTCAGTTTGTTATGCAACAACGCAATCAAGGGAGACAAACCGTTTTCTGACTGGGTTGGAACTCTGCTGTTTCCCATCATCGGCGCTCTCAACTCCTTATGTCCAGGCGGTGTGGGACATCGAAACGCACTACTACAACGTGACGACTAGAAGTGCAACTGGTTGTTGATGGCTGTTGGACAACGCTGTGACTAGGCAAAGGAGGCAAATGTAAGATACCTGGTCACGAGTTACTCCCTTACTTGTTGAGCCTACTGCTGTTCGGCTCAAACAACTGCGTCTGGCCCGACCTGACACGCGTAGAACAGAGCCACCTTGCTTAGACATTAGCATAAACAATAAGCAAATTGGAACCTCTGTTCCACCAGCCAAGTGGTAACCAATCGATGGTCCCATGTGCGGATATTCTATCCGAAGGGGGTTGCAGGTGATAGCTCTAAAAGCCAGGATGATAGAATGCGTAGCTCGATAAGTCAGTGAGTGTACCGTGAGTCCTCATGCGTTTCGAAGATTAGATGACATATCTCGATGACGCTAAGTGGTGGAGTTGAGGAAGGTACTCAGAAGAACAGAGTAATCGCTACAGCCGTAAAATTAAGGTGAAGAGAGAGCGAAAGGTACCGATTCCAAGCATAGCAGATTGCTGTTCACGCGGAGAGAGAAATGAAATTTTCATTAATTCAGTAGCTAGCGGTTGATCCGCATATAGATAAGTATTCAAAACATCACTCCAATGATCTATCCATATAAAGACCCGTTTGATTACGACGACAACAGTCATCCGAAGATATTGGTGGCAGAAGTGGAGAAGTGGTTAGGCTTCCGTTTATGACAGAGCCAAGCGATATCAATGGCAAATATCTTCATCCACTGAGGTGCAACTACTACGCCAATCAAAGAGGTAACCAAATGTAAGTAGGTTAACAGTACATCCCCTTAGAGTGCCATGGTATTCATAGTTTGAAGATGCAAACTTTTGGAACACCACCTCAATTTCACTTCTCCATTATCCTACATTAGCTATAGTCAAAGAGCGGTTGGATATCGTGCTTACTCCCATGCGGCTTACAGCACGACCAGTAGCCCTCCGGAGTATCTCACTGTGGACCATTTTAATAGACTGTAAGTCAGACGGACGCGTAGAAGGCGGTGCATATAGACGTAGGCTCTTATTGTTTTAAGAAGAAACAGTAATTATTGCAACCTCGTACTTCGGCAGCACGCATTAAATCCAATCTCAACCCGTAACCCATAGATTCATTGATCAGTCTGTAGAGAATCTATCCCTACCGTTTTGGGAGGATCCGAAGGGGAGAGGGAGGCTCATTACAATGATGCAGAGAAATACTACAGGAATGGATAACCTCTAAACTGTTGGTCGGACTTCCTCAACTAATACGTAGCGTGTAATAAAAACGCAATACCCTAGCGCTTTGGATGTAATGCTTGCGGTAATGTCGATTGAGTGCCAAAAATACTGTCGGCTGGTGACCCATTCTTTCGGTGGCAGTTGCGAGTGAAGCGTTGACCTTGTTGTCTAATCCCATCCGCAATGGGTATCGTTACCATGGGGTACGTAGTTGGGATCGCGTCAGTTTGGGCACACGCAGAGGAGGTTACATGAGCCATTGCTGTAGCTTTTTCGATTTTTCTCCGTTATACTGTGTGATAACGAGTTGATGCTGAACCACTTGAGCAGTAACTTGAAATGACTTGTAAACAGATCTAATGTGAACAAGTGAAGAGCGGCCATGGGGACAAGACACATCGTAAATCAGTTTGGCTATATATTCAATTGAGAAAAGGGACTGCGATCGTGAATTTACCATGAATGTGACCCATGTCACGCTCCAAGAGGTTTCGTAATTGTGATGGGTAAAACTAGATGCTAAGATGGTGACATTGAGTAACGTCACCCATCCCATCATTCAATGGGGGTCCTCAACACAGTAGCGAAGTAACCAAACCACATAAGGCACCTTCCACTAGTATGCAGAGCTTACCACCAGTTAGGTTTCCCCTTACCCTTAGCTAAAGAACCACGCAGCTTATGACGTTGCCTTCTCTTTCACATCATTAGATATGGTGTGTTTATCATGATCTTCACTTATCTGAAGTGCCACCATTTAGTTAGCTAATACGGACCCATATACCTCTGATTCATGTCTATAGCATTTCCAGCAAAGTTGCATAAAAGGTACAAAATTTTGCAAAGAATGCACAAAATCTTGCAAAGAAGGTCCAAAATGTTGCAAAGCCCTGTGCGTTTCGCCAGCCGTTCAGAGTCAATCCTCTGATCTTAAATGTGTCCGCATTGGCAGGATGCCCATGAACAATGAACAAAGATTTATCACGGGATAAAAGGAAGTGCTTGACACGTCCCGTAAGATGGTTGGGGTGCAAATGATGAAATCAAAATATATCTGGGTCACCTACCAAACGTCTGTCGAGATGCATAGTTTGATAATTAACATCAGTGTAAAATTAAAATAATTCTCGAGCACAAACGTTCGGAAAGACACTGGGGTGCAATGATCGTTGGTGTAAGGCGTGAGGAAACTAAAATATGGTCGTTCACTTGTGTCCATTGGATACATAAATCCTCTTGAAAAGCATGCTTGGCGTAATCCACAATAGAGGAGTTTAGGTAACAAAATGCTGGGAGCAAAGAGCAACATCTAGTCATTTATAGAAAACATCCAATGTCAGGGAGGATACAACTGAGTCTGTGAGTGCGTTCCAGGGTTGGAAAGCAGAAGAGAAAAATAATTCCGTCGACACTCTAGACGGCTAGATTGTTCCTTCAACTTTAAGCAGTTACCCCTGAGCTGCGTGTTGTGGTTAAGTTTCAGAAAATGGCGGCATACGTGGTTGGGATCACTCAGTATCTGATACGCTAATTGAGATCGCCGCGCATCCTTCGGTAGCGTCCGCTGGAAATTCCCAGCAACTTCAGCCTTCGGTGCTAAGAGTGATAGCGCAGGCCCTTTAAATTCTTAGTTGCTCTTCGTTGTGGTGTCTCTAACGCTTCCAGGTCGCGCTTCAACCAAGGTTGCTAAGCTTGGATTGCGTATTCAACATGTGTAGCAGTCTGGAGATTCCCCGCTTTGCTTGTGTAAAATTCTAACCAAAATTCTTTAATTGTACACTTAGGCAACCGGTGTGGTTTGTTGAACTGCTTGCTGAGTTCGAATGCTTTACTTGCTCATCGCCATTTTTGCTTGGCGCTCGTTTCGGTTGCAACGCGCAACTGCCCTGTGTGCTGTGCTTGCTCCGTTCCCCTAGCTAGAGTGTCCACGGTGTCGTTCATTTATAGCTAGCTAACAGGGATTCTTTTACTGAACCAATAAAAGTTTCCCTGCAACTCGATCTGTCTTCTGGAATCGATCTCTGGGCTCCCGGTACAGGCGATCCTCTTAATTGGTGACCCCGGATCCGGAACAATCTCAACGCCGGATATTTGGAACTTTTCTCTGGTGAGCTCGTTCCATTTATTTTTCATATTTTCCGATTTATTTTTGCATACGGTAGCCTATTTTTTGCGTCATTATTTTTTACCCATGGATTCTGTAGACCATAAGTTAGAGTCTCTACTAAGCGTTGTATCTCTCTCTGTGCCACCTTTTTGAGCAATTAGCTCTTGCAAGCAGGCTTTAAACTGAGTACCATCGGTTACCGGCGTTTCTATGTCGTGCACGTTAAAGTCTCCAGCGATAAGAATGTGGGTATAGGACTTGTTTAAAGCGAATTGAAAAACGTGGTTCAGTTTAGGGTCCATTTCCGACGTTGAGTTTGGTAGGCGATAAACCATGGCTAGTAGACATGTGTCCTTGTTTCTCAACCATAGGCGGCACCAAAGCGAATCAGGAGTTCGGATTTCCGAGTGATCGGGAAACTCACATCGGAGGTTTGTATTATAGTAAAGTATCACACTGCCACCCCTTCGGGCTCTATCGGTCCGAAGCAGCGTCATACCGGGTAAATTGATCGAAGAATCGGTTATCTCAGGGTTTAACCATATCTCTGTAATCATGACGAGGTCCCGCGGTTGTGAGGCATGGAGTTCTGTAAGTTAGGCCAACTTGCTTAGAAGGCGTTGTGAGTTTGTGTATATGAAAGATAGGGCTTTTATTGTCAGG